GACCTTCCCCAACTCAGTACTCCACTTGATTCCAACATTCTCAATCTCTTCCCATGCTTCTTCTCTTGCTAATGCAACAAAGACTGAAGCCTCTGATGTCTTGCTTGTGCTCAGGTCCCGAAGTCCAGATTTATTAAAAAGAAAACCATAAAAAATAAGAAAATGAAATATTTTCAATTACAGTAACATATATAGATTTATAGATGTACCTGTATCTTGTCGGCAAGTTCGAACAGTGTCAGGCCCTTACTCCCCTCAAGAGGCAGAACATGCAAGGCTGCAAATTTGACAGTTCTAGGTGTCAACCGATGCCTGGACTTGCGCGGAGCCAGCAACCCTTTCTTTTGCATTGATGCAAAAGCAATTTCAGCTGCTGAACCACTGCGAATAATTGAAATGATATCTTCACAACCTTTAGTCTCCACACAAATAATTGGAACCTAAACAGCAAACAAAAAATAGAACACAGAAAACATCATACACCTACCACTGAAAAGTATGACTTTGTAGATTAGCCAGACTTACAGCTTCCCAATTAACCAAGCCTGCAATGTTGCCTACATCAACCCAGAGCCTTTCAACTACATCAAGTATTTTCCTATTAACCCTCCACTTGGTGTTCCCAAGTGTATCCAAACCCTGTTCAAGTTACGTTTCATAAAAGATTTTTAAAATAATACCAGAAATGAACAAAAACCAGAATATATAGAGAGCAAAGATATCAATGTACCTCAAATACTCTTAGAAGAGTAATGTGCAATTTCACTCTTTCAAAATTCTAGGTAACGTTACTCCTCACACGAATCTGATTTCTCCATGATTTTGGATAAAAATAGTGGCAACATTCAGCCGTAAACAAATTGCAATACGAAATGAAACTCCAAGATATACACTCATGCCTTTCCATCTCCTTTTCAAACGTTCTTCATACTGATTAAACAACAAACTCTGAAACTCATCAATTCAATTGAAAACCATAAATCTAGATTTTGAGCCTAATCACATAGATCTCCACTTAAAGAATAGAAATCGATCCGAATCTGAAGAAGTCCAATCCGCTACACATTTAGATATCCACTACCATAAACTATAATCACCATAGTTAACTCTTTATCTTTGATATTCTCACCTTTCTGAAAAGTAGATTTTACAACGTAAAATACAAACTCAAATTCACACAATAACTTGCATAATAACTTGTACGATAGATTACTGGTAAAGTAACGGTTAAAAAAGAATCATACAAGTTCATCAATAGGCTGTTGTACAGAGATGGAGAGACGAAGTGATGTCGATGGATCGACTTCGGCTGAGAAGATGAAACAGTGAAGAAGCAGAGAAGAAACATTCTCCAGAGAGAAAGAAGATGTGATAAGGTTTCTAAGGTTTCCTTTGGGCTTAACGGGCCTTATTCTGTTTCAAACAAAAAAAAATAAAAAGAAAATAAAAGAGCCCAAAAATAATCAATTCCGTGTGCTAACTTGGCTCAGAACAGCACATCCTGATTGGCTGAATAAATCTGACGACGTGGACAGCCTAACTACTCTAGAATAAGAACTTTTAATAGTGTTAGATTCTAATAGATATTGTTGAGATTTTTGTTATTGAATTTAGGCTAATCCTTTCAAATAGACTTTTTAAAAGTTACAAAAATAGAATTCAAAAATTAAAATGACCAAAATAGTATCTTTTATCTTGAAAATTTGAATTTTTTGGTATTTTTAAAAATTTAAAATCTTATCCCCAAAATTCTACTGCTCGATTCTAAACCCTAAACTCTAAACCGAAATCTGAAATCCTAAACCCTAAATCTCACTCCTTAACTTTAAATCTTAATATCAATAAGGGCTTGACTAGTTTCCCTGCTATCACCCGCAAACGCAACTTTTGCGGTTCGTAGTGGTTGTTGCCATTTTGCAACAATCACTCAAACCGCTCTGAACCGCTTTAAAGAGCTCTAAACCTCTTAAATTCAAAAGCTGGTTCCAACTAACGTTTGCGATTGCGGATAATTGCGAGAAGGTGATTTTTTTCTTTTTAAGAAAACAATATAAATAAAAAAAAAGAAAAATATTCAATAAATTTCTTAAACTGGAATTATAAATATACTAAAATATATCTATTATATTATAATTAATATTAGTAAAAAATTAAAAAATTCAATAATTTTTAAAAATTTAAACTATAACTTTATAACTATAATTTATATATTTATTATAATATTATGATTTTGGTATTTTTATGATTATACAAGATTGTAAATATTTTTAATTTATATTTTAACTGCTACTGTATTTGGTAATTAACCAGTCATAAATATCCCCAAACGCACCAATTTGTAATTGTAGTACCAATCATACAAATCTTTTAAAACCACATGAAATCACAATCACCCACATCCGCAAATTCTCACAACCGCAACCTCTGCGTTTGAACCAGTTATATTTACTTTTTTGATAAAATATTTAAATCTATTTTGCTCATTTTTATTTTTAAGGTCTTTATTTGTGATAAAATTTTTAATCCATTTTAGAAAATTTCTCTTGAATTTATTTTTAAAATTATTTTCTCAATTGCATAGTTTCAAAGTTATTTCTATTTTCATTAAATTATCAATATAGATATAAAGATAATTATAAAAATTTAAACTGGATAAGTTAGACATTTCATTTAGATTGGATAAATTATTCATTTCGTTTTCAAAATGCTAAAAACAGTGTAGTTTTCAAGATAAATTTTATTTGAATACATTTTTCCAAATTTTCCCTTTAATTTTTTGTAACACAACAAAGCTTTTAATTATTAACTAGAGTTTTTGCCCGCACGTTCGTGCGGGTATATTTTTCGTTTAAAAAATTATTTAATATTAATATAAATGTTTAAAATATATAACTTATATTTTTATGTTATATATTGTGTAAATTTATAATCTAATTGGTGTAGGTTTTTATTCAACATTATTAATATATAATATTCTTTATTTTTTAATTTTTATTAAAAATTATTAATAGAAAATGTATTTTTATATTTTTATATTTTATCAACATATTATTTTATAATAAAAATATTAAATTTTAAGTTAAAAATATTTTTCACTAATATCTTCTGAATTAGTAAAACTTTCTCATATCCTATCTTTCTTAAATAATACATGAATTAAAAATTATTTATATGGACATTTTCATAAATACACAATTCATTAATGACAAAATACAATATAATCCTTCCCTATCTTCTCTTCTATTTTCTTTCTCTCACGGCGATCTGACGTGTTCATCAACGCTTAAATCAAAGCCGATCGACGGCGACATCGTCTCAGCCTCCCGTGATAAATCCATCCTCCGACGGCCAATTTGTCATCTCCAGAAGCTGGGACGCCGAGCTCCGCCTCTGGGACCTGACCGCGGAGTCTCTACTCGCCGACAACGGCGTCCTTTAAGTCAATGGCGTAGCCGAGATAAAGAAAGAGAGAGGGATGAGATTAGGGGAGGGTCGAGAGATAGAGAGAGGGAGAGGAGCCGAGAAAGAGAGAGGAGTAGCAAAGGGAAAATTGTCATTTAAATCACCAACTTTCAAATTTGGTTGAAATAAAGCACCAACTTTCTCATAAGTCAAAAAAACACTCAACTTTTGTCGACAAGCCATTTTAGTCACAAAATTTCGTTGACCATACCAATTTAGGCATATCGTTAGTCAACAGTTTTAGTTGACTAACGGTAGGCCTAAAATGGCTTTCAAAGTTGATGTTTTTTTGGCACAAATATAAATCAATATTTTTTTTTACAATATTGGATATATTTTAAATATTGTAAAAATATTTTTATAACTGAAGCACTAATAAATAAAATTATAAATAAAAGATCCAATAAAAAATATAAATAAAACTCAATGTAAAATAATTAGTTAACATACATTAATTGAGTATCTTGGTTATAAAATGATAAGAATACTTAAATTATTTACGATTATTTTTTCTAAATATTTATATAATCCTATTTGAATTATGTTTTATAATTTTATTTTCAAAAGTTTGTTGATGAAATATTAATTCAACTATTTTTTCTTAAATGAAAAAAGTCATCGATTAACGAATTATTCATGATTCTTTAAGTTTATGATAAAGATCTTCAAACAAATCTATATATTTTCTATAAAATTTTTACAAGAGGTTTTCTGCATTTAAAAAAAAAAATAAGCTTCACTAAAATAGATAACTCTTTTTGTTATCCGATAACTCATTTTGTTTAAAAAATCAAGAATTGAAGTAATATTTTACTAACAAATTTTTGACAATAAAATTATAAAACATAATTCGTGTAGGATTATAAAAATATTTTTTAAAAATTAATCGTAAATAATTAAGAAATATAATCATTTTTAACTAAAATACTCAATTAAGGAGATGTTAATTAATAGTTTTACATTGAGCTATGTTTATATTTTTGAATGGAATTTATTTTTTATTTACAATTTTATTTATTAGTGTTATAGTTATTAAAAGTTTCAATATTTAAAAGCCAATATTTTGAAAAATTGTTGATTTATATTTGTGCCAAAAAAATACCAACTTTAAAAGTCATTTTAGGCATACCGTTAGTCAACTATAACTGTTGACTGACGATATGACTAGATTGGTATGGTCGACAAAAGTTTGTGACTAAAATGGCTTGTCAACAAAAGTTGAGCGTTTATTTGGCTTATGAGAAAGTTGGTGCTTTATTTCAACCAAAATTTGAAAGTTGGTGATTTAAATGACAATTTTCCCGAGTAGCAAAGAGAGGGAGAGGAGCGATAGGGAGAAGAGCAGAGAGAGGAGAGAGAGGGAGAAGGATAGGGAGAGGAGAAGCAGTAGTAGGTCACGGAGGGAAGAGAGGGAACGTGAAGTAGTTGAAATAGGAAGTTTAGATTCTGTTCCTTTCTTTATGTAGTTTAGGATCAATCACCAATCGTATCAGCTCCTGAGAAAAGGTGGAGTGAAAGAAGAGAATATTGTAGTGTTCATGTTTGATGACATCGCAAAGAACAAAGAGAACCCAAGACCTGGAATCATTATTAACAGTCCTAACGGAGATGATGTTTATAGTGGAGTTCCCAAGGTTGTTTTTTCTCGTTTTTAGATATGTAGTTATATTGTGGATCCATTGAGTTAATTGTTTGGGATCTGCTTGTGGCAGGATTACACTGGATATGATGTTAACGTTGGTAATCTATTTGCTGTGATTCTTGGAAATAAAACAGCTCTTAAAGGAGGAAGTGGTAAGGTTGTAGACAGTGGTCCAAACGATCATATCTTCATATACTATAGTGATCATGGTGGCCCGGGAGTGCTTGGTGAGTTCTACCTACTTGTTTTGTTTCTCATGTTAAACCAACGAAGTTGATATGATGACAATAAAGTTTAATGATTCAAGTCTCCATGGTTGTTTGTAGGGATGCCAACTTCTCCGGCTCTATATGCAAACGATTTAAACAATGTATTGAAGAAAAAACATGCTTCTGGAACATATAAGAGCTTGGTACAATTTCAAGAATCTTATGAAAAAGATTTCTTTTTTCAGGTGCCTGTGATTTTAGTTTGAGTTTTATGTTTTGATTTTGCAGGTGTTTTATCTTGAGGCTTGTGAGTCTCGATGTATCTTCGAAGGTCTTTTACCAGAAGGTTTAAACATTTACGCGACAACTGCATCAAATGCAGAAGAAAGCAGCTGGGGTACTTATTGTCCAGGAGAGGATACGAGTGTACTGTCCGAGTATGAGACCTGTTTAGGCGACTTATACAGTGTTGCCTGGATGGAAGATAGGTATGTATGTAGTCTACTATCATGATATCACAAATGTAAAATATGGTGTATAGGATTCTTATTCGTCTGCTTTTCTTTGTTTACATTGCAATAGTGATAAACACAATTTAAAGACAGAGAGTTTGCACCAGCAATATGAACTGGTAAGCTTCATGTTCATAAGCCATCTAACAAAAGTCTTGCATTTATCTACGCCTGTGGATTTGGTTATATGGTGAGTTGTTGTTTACAAAGTTCTTTCTTTTGGTATACCATTTTGAATCTGGTCACTTTTTTTTTTTTAATTTGCAGGTACGACAGTGTCACTGTTTGTGGTGATCTTGAATGTCAAGATCAATTGAATGAGAGGAACAAACCATTCTTTGACTTGTGTGATGGAATCTTCATGAACTACACATGGAAGGTACTTTTTTTGGTTTGATCATTTTCTTTAGTTGATATGGCTGAGTTGGTCTAAGGCGCCATACTAAGGTTCTGTTCTGAAAGGGCGTTGGTTCAAATACTACTCTCAACATTTTTTTTTTTTTGCGCTAGTCCCCTTGTTGTCTACATCTACATGTGTGTGTGCTTATCTGTTTCTGTTGCTGATGTTTGTTCTATCCGATTATTTTGGATTTAATGTTTGATTTTTATACTGAAGATGAGTTCAATATGCACTTTGGTCTACTGTTTTCGTAGGTTCTGTTGGATATTGGATCCTTGATTAAATCATAAACAAGAAATAACAGTAAGAGAATAGAAGAAGAAGAGCAAAGAAGAGTAGTAGAGAAAAAGCTACAAAGAAGAAAGAAGCGTGAAGTACAAGAAACATAGGAATCAAAGGTTTATAAACCATTTATAAAACTAACTTATATAGTTATAATTTTATATTCAGTTTATAAGGGGTATGTATACAAGTTATAATAGGTTTAGAGAGCAATTAAAAGGTCCTAGATCATTTAAAAGAATCTATAACTATTTAGAAAGGTTTATAAAACAATTTATAATCGTTTGTATGATAATTTATAATGGTTTATAATTGGTATGTAGATAATTTATAAATGTTTATAAAAACAATTTATAAAGATTATATACCTTTATAAAGGTTTATAAAACATTTTATAAAGATATGTAAAATTATTTGTAAGTCTCTACCATTTATAAAGGCTTATAAAACAAGTTATTAAATCTATAACAAATTTTTTTTTCTTTTATGCAGAGCCGGTCTCTTGAATGATGTCGTAACAAGGAAAAGCTTATAATGCCACCTAAATAATGGTTTGTATGATAATTTATAAGAGTTTATAAGGATATGTAAATAATTTATAAATGTTTATAAAAACAATTTATAAAGATTATACAACTTTATAAAGGTTTATAAAACAATTTATAAAGATATGTAAAATTATTTGTAAGTCCATACCATTTACACTACCAAAAAATTAACCTCGCACCTCATATATTGTGCATACTAAGCCTTGCCAGTTACTACAACCAAAATGCTCATCACATATGCCAAGAAATACACCATTTAGTCTGATCCATCTTTCAATCTATTTATATATTCTTCGATGGATCAATTGTATTTGCAAGAAGGACGTATCTATAATGATTAATAAAGCTATTCATGTTTGTTTATAAATGTTTATAAAATAAATCATATGAATATATACAATAGTTTTGTATATAAACCATTTATAATAGTTTATAAAACTTATTATGAACCATTAATATTTATAAATCATTTGCAATGATTTGTAAAAGACTTTGTCTAAATTCTAAACCATTTTAAGAGTTTATAATTTATAAAAATATATAGAATTTTTTTTATTATAATCTATAAATCATTTATAAGAATATATAATATTATTTATAAGGGTTTATAAAATCATTTATAAGGACTTGTAAATTCTAAAGGTAATTAAGTTATAAAGTTAAAGCATTTTATAAAGGTGTTTAAATCATTTATTAGGGATTATAAAACATCCATAAGAATAAAAAATAAATTTATAAAGATTTATAAAAACTTCTAAACCCTTAAATTAGTTTATAAGCCTTTATAAATTAATTTACAAACTCTTCTAAATTAACTTATAAACCTTTATGAATCATTTTATAAGCTTTTTATACATTAACTTAGTAACCTTATTGAATTAGTTTATAAACCCTTACAAATCAGTTTTCAAACCTTTATAAATAGTTCAATAATTAGTTTATAAACCTTTTTAACGTCATAGAATGATATGTCTAATTTTCCATAATCCTTCTAACTATTACGAATGACGTGTGCATCATACAAGAAAATAAAAGAAACACTAGGTGTTTTGCCCGCACTTGCGGGCTTAATAATTTCCTAATATCTATATTCAAATATAATCAGTTTAAGTAAATTATAATAAATTATTGTTCATACACTCAAAATATTTAATAATAATCTAAACAAATTCTTTCTATATATAAATTTTTTCATCATCATATAAATAATTGTCATACACAAATTAAATGTGAAAATATTCATAAATTTAAAATATTTAGTAATAAATTAATATCATTTTTAGACATAACAAAAAAGTATAATAAAATTATCTTTAGTAATGTAAACTATCTATACATAAATTCTTTGCGAATTATTTTTTCATAACTAAATATATATTAACAAATATAATTATTTTCAAGGTTAATACAGACTTATAACAGAATTATAAAAAAATAGATAGTGATAATTATCAAATTCATGAAATTCGTTTTTAATTATAATTAATTATATATTAACAAATATAATTATTTTAAATATAATTATTTTTAATGTTGATAAAGATATAATATAAAAAATTAAATAAGGATGATTATCAAATAAATGAAATTTGTTTTTAATTTATAATTAATGATACATTACTAAAAATATAATTATATTTCAAGGTTAATAAAGATTTTATAACCCAATATAAAATAGTTTTAGATAAAGATAAATCTAAAATCATTGAAATTCGTTTTTTACTTATGTTTAATTATGTAATGAATTTTTTAATTATTATATAGTAATAAATCTTTTTTTGGTCAAATGGTAATAACTATTAGTCATTATATAGTAATAAATCATAAGAACATGACAATTAGATTTACTATCTTTAATGGCGAATCAAACATAAACTTAATGACTAATTAGATTTATTACTATATAATTAATAATTCAATTTATTATAATCATTAGTCTAGATAATGATAATCATCAAATCATAAGAAACATGACAAATAAGATTTGTTTCTAATTATTATATAGTAATAGATCTAATTAGTTATTATATAGTAATAAATCCAATTAGTCATTAAGTTTATGTTTGCTTGTCATTAAGGGTAGTAAATCTAATTAATATACGGTTCATTATTATATAAGAATAATTTTATTTAGTCATTAATTAAGGATAATAATTAATCATTAATCAAAATCATAAAAACATGATAAAAGAATTATAATTACATAAAATCATGGAGAATATGATAAATCAGCAAATTCACCTTTTTAAATATAATTAATTTATTGTTATTTATATATTAATTCAGTTTTAGTTTATAGTTTATTAATATCAACTATTTTTAGATAATAATAGTCATCAAATCAGTGAAATTTGTTTCTAATTTATGATTGATTATATGTTAATTAAATATATTTTCTGATAACAACACAATATATATAGGAATTATCTTTTTATTTTATTTTATTTTTAAATATATATTTAAATTACGGATAATTCTTATCATTATTATTAATTTAAATCATTTATCTAATCAAATAAATATAAACTCGTTTTTTAAATTTTTGGCTGATTTATATATTTTATCCATTAAGGGTATAAACGATATTAATCACTACAACTTTTAACGTGGAAGCTCCGTTGCGAAAAATCACTTTGCAAATTTAAGTGAATTATCTGATTTGTAATTTCTCCATAATTTAGATAATTTTGATTATTTGTCATATTTTTAATAATTTCATATAAAATTTATCATAAAATAAAAATGAATTTATATTAATAATTTTATATTTTTATAAAATAAGATAATTCTTATGTATTATGTTGTTATGTTGAAAATATATTTCCTATTATAAAACTTGATATTAAGATATAAAAATTATACAATTAATAATTAAATATAAATCATCAAAGCAATTATTTGAAAAGTGAATTTGTTGATTTGTCTTCATGTTCCTAGATAATTTTGATCATTTATCAGAATTACTCTAATTTTTTATTATTGATTATATAATTAAAACTAATTTATATTAACAATATGATATTTTAGAAAATAAGTTAATTCTTATTTATTATGCTGTTATCTCGAAAATAATTTTTTCTATTATAAAATTTAAAATTAACATGTAAAATTGTAAAAAAAATCTATACAATTATTTAAAAAATAAATTTAATGCTTGTTGATTTGTCATATTTTCCATGATTTTAGGGAATTTTTGATATTTTATCCTAATTTCTCTAATTTTATATATAATTTATTATATTTTTAAAACAAATTTATATTAATAGCATCATATTCTTAGAAAATAAGATATTTCTTATGTATTAAGTTGTT